ATGTTTAAATACTTAAATATTGCACAATATACAATAATTCAAATAATTGTTTTTTTATCATAAAATTTTAAGTTATAGTTTACAATGTTTGCAGTCTGTCAAAATATCCTGAAATGGCTGAACTACATGAACCCAACTGTATTTTCATCAAGAGCAATTCGACTATACAGGTAAAATATATAAAAGTATAATAGAAAGTCATATACTTGGTATTATAGATAGAAAGGTGTTAGAAAAATGGAAGCTAGAGCTAATTGGCTAGCAATAGTTGTGACTCAATGATTACTTCTATGATCAAACACGACTATTTTAGCCAAATATCTTTAGTCTCCACTGCGTCTTTCCTATTTCTATCTGTGATATTATTTCAATCACTTTCTACATCCCAGTCTCTTCAGTGAAAACCTACAAATGTTGTGGTTCTACTTGTTTTGACTAGCCTCACTAAAGACGTCTCCTCTTTGCTTTCGATTGTTGCTTTCTCATCTATCTGCGATATCTTTTCCTAAAATTAAGAATATTACCATAATTTAGTCGTCTTCTTTTTGCTGATTCTGTTGTTAACTGGTCTTCTCCGATTTTTTTAGGCAATATGCAAGGTTTTCTCTGATCCTACCTTCTCCAAGTCTCATGTTCATTATATCTCTCTTGTTTAATATTTCATTGGCCCCTCGGATCTTGCGTTTTCTTGTATCGTTCACCACATGCAGCCAACCTTTCGGTCTATTTCCAGTCGATTTCGTGCTCCGTTTGTGCAATATGTTCCACTATTTTGGATCTTTTCTTACCTATGTTCTTGCAGAGTCTTTGATGTTCCTTGACACGTAGGCCGATTATTCTTCCTGTTTCACCTATGTACTTATGTTTAAAATAACCGCATTTAATGCAATAAACTTACGAACAATCAAGTTTGTCAGTCTTCTCGTTTTGCGTCGGCAGACTAGTAAAAAGTGGCAGGTCATAGACTTGGTATTAGAAAGAGAGACAGGATAGTTGATGCGGCGATTAGAGCTAGCTGACTGACAGTAGGTCTTACAAGAGACGTGGTCTATGTAGCAAAGGCATGACCATGAGACTTACTCTAAGGCGTTAGCCTCTAAGCAATCACCTAGGTGCAGAGGATGGACGAATTACGCATCGAGTAACACAGAGGGGGGGTGCAGGGGTCGAGTAAAATACATGTACCAGGAAGATAGCAGACGGATTCTACGGGGAAAGAGGGAGACTTTGATAGGACCCAGGTAATGACTACATAACAATATGACAGAATCTGGTCAACATTTCTAGCACAAGGGTAAAAGAATTGATAACTACAGTATAGATTGTAAAGGGTTTTCATGAATTCCGCTCGAAGGAGCACACCACACTACATTAAAAATAAGCACGATAAAATTATGACAGGGAAGGCATGATATAAGGATATAGGAAATGTGAATAGGCCAGGACAAAGGAAAGATACCACAACTGTTTAGCACACGTTTGGTCAAAGGATGGGCTTCAATTTTATCTTTGACGAGTTGCAATATGGTGCTACGTCTGGGAATGTACCACGTCCACGGTCCTGCTCCGGAAATGATGATGCATACAATGGACTCCGAACTAGGTGCGTTCCTCTTAGTCTTTCTACCAATATGACCAAGTTGTGTAAACAAGGTCAAAAAACTTCTTTAGTCAAATGTTTGCTATCTATTAGCCATTATCGAGATCTGGCTGCTAAAAGATTGTTTGCTCATGTGGTCGATGTTATGTTGGTGGGACATGCAGAACTATTTGACAAAATTTTGTAGAAAACAAAAATGCTTGCAAAGGTAGCTTGTTCCAACGGTCAGAAGTGGCCGAATAAACTAGTAAGTTTGCTGATTATGGTACGTCTGTGGTCAAAAGAAAGATAAGAGAGACTATATAAATTAATACCTTTAGAAATACATCGAATGTGAGGAACGGTGGTAGATATTCGAGTAGGAACTACTTATGCTTGAATGATAGATTAAAAAATAGAGAGGGTGTTGATCCGCCGTCAAAAAGAAGGTGACTCAATTTGTCTGCTCAGTGATGATTTTAATTTCCCTCCCATTTTTCCAAAATGCGAGAGTAATCCTATCAACACAACCATACAAGTAAGATTACGCAACCCCAGTCTTGCCTTTCTTTGGAGGGTTAAACGTTAATGACCCTAGACTGAAAGGTTAGGATATAGGTTTCCGTAACTTGATTTTAATACTCACAAGCTCACATCTCATTATATCAACCATACTTATTTACGGACCTACGCAGTCTTAGTCAAGGCTTTCTTTTGGGTCATTAAGTTTTAAGGATCGGGACCTGAGTTTAAAACTTTGACAACTTTGATTTATAAATTTTCTTATATATAGACGCTTACACTCACAAATACACATATTCATATAATTGAGCAAAAATAACAGGACCTAACTTGAAATAAAATTAACCAAAACACTCTATATCGATCTATCTAGGTGTTTTATTTTCATTTGGCTTAATTGAGTCTATATAAGAAGTAAGATAGAGCCGGATAGTGTTCTTGGCCTAGTTTTAACGTGAGACTTTTACAATGATGAAACTCAGCTTTGATGATGTGTATCATATGATGGATGAAAGCTCAGCACGCTTTCACCCGAAAAGAGGGAGGAAGTCTTGTGAACTGCGTCAAAATGAATATCGTATAAAAGCCAAACGGCTGCAGTACAACAAAATTCATCCGTCGTAATCTGGTGAGATGGACCAAAGAATCTTTTTTCAATCACTTTTATGCGAACTGAAAGTCCCCCTAACAATGTTTGATAATAGACATAAATCAAGGACTTGAATATGAGAATCGCTCAGGGTCTTTAACCTCAAATTATCCTTCCAGGAAAAGAGTGTGGGAAATAACGCGTTGAGTAGCACAGATAAGGTCGTATGGTTCGAATGAAATACTTGAACCAGAGAGATAACGGACGGATACTACGGAGCAAGAGAGAGACTATGATAAGGCCTATGGGAGGAGAACTGCGGAACAAAATGACAAACTCTAATCAACATTCCGAATACAAGGCTAAATAGAGGAAGGGAGGGGATGAGAAAGTCATCTTGGGGTGTGTAGAGTTCTCATAAAATCCACTCAAAAGGGAACACTATATTACATTTAAATAAGCAAGTGAAAGTTGTGATAGTAAAGGCGTGATACGAAGATATAGAATTGGTGATTTGCTCAGGGCGGAAGGAAAGATGCCACGATTGTTTACCAGCCAGTGGTAGAAGAATCTGCCTTAATTGTCTCTTTGACGAGTTGTAGTGTAGTGCTAAGGCTGGCAATGCTCACTGATGATGTTTATTACGATGCAGGCGAAACGTCTGGGAATGTACCACGTCCACGGTCCGAATCTTGAAATTATCCTGCATACTATGAACTCCGGGCTAGGTGCATTACTCTAGGTATTCCTACCAATATTGCCAAGTTGCGTAAACAAATTTAAACAACTTCTTTACAACGAGAGAAGACTATTACCATATAAACAGTTACACCATCTTGGTATCCATACCTTTGATTTACAAAATATTGTTGGACAAGCCCATAAAATATTGTTAGTACTTGCTGCGGTTGTATTTGATATTATATGCCTAGGAATTGATGCTTTTACCAGCCATGTCTGATTGTTTCGTGTACATATAGAAGTGAC